TTTTATTGCCTTGACAAAAGGGCACTTTGGGCATCAAGGGGAAAGGGGCAGGTGCTCAAGCACCCATCGCACCCCCCTCTGCACGTGCCTGATCGGCTGTAAGGAGATGGTGATTCTGACACCTCTACCGAACTGTAATGGTCAACATACTGCACACGACGAGAAGAACCAGGTATGCTTGAGACATCTTGTGACATTTAGATATCTTTGGTCTATGTTGTGTGAAAATATTAATCTTTATTCTCACATGGGCAGACAGTTCAAACTGTGCACACACTCATCCTTATCATGTTTTATATTTATTCTTATTGAATAATTCTAATCATCTTTGTCATTTTCCTCAGAGGGTAAACAGAGAAAGGCTGGAAATTTATCAGGCAAGAAAACATAAGATCACTCACCTGCTCTGCTGCTGATGCTGATGGTTCATATTCCAGGTGTGTCACAAGAGAGCAGCGTCACAATGAGGAAAGTCTTTAGAAAATAAATAATCAGACCCAGAAAAGTTCATTATGGATAAAAAAGGAACAGATTTAAAAACAGTGCTACTGGTAACATCAAATGCTAGACAATGAAATCCAAGTGCAAAGCAGAAACAGTCATTTCAATCAAAAGTGTCCAGTCATTGTCTGAAAACGGCTTTCAGATTGCATCATATTTTGTTTATACTGCATAAGTGATCATGTAAAATCAACACACTTTTTAATCTTCAAACAATAAACAATTTTATGAATTTTGAAGCCTTAATACAATAGGCAGAAGTAAAAAGTACTACAACGCAGTTGCATGACTTCAGTTTCACCATCAATAAGCTTCAAACAACTCTTTCGATATTTATTTAAAAGACATTTTCCTTGAAAATTTGAGTTACAATTCTTTTGCAGTAAAATAGTTTGACGACATTTAATGTCCTCAACAACCTCTGTAGTCCCACATAGCCACTTAGCAACCACCTTTTTTTAAAGGGGTCATATGATGCGATTATATGCACACACACACACAATTCAATTAACAAGAAGCTAATATTAACTGACCAATATTTCAGACACAATATTGTTTTTGTACATTTTTACCAATGAAAATAGTTCCAAGAAGCACTGCAGATCTGAGTGTTTGGTTTCTGTATGAATCTTTTTTGAATGTGCCACCTCTACAGGCATGGATTTTGATGATAATGATTTTACTTTTAATTTATTGATCACATTTAAGAAATTGCCATGATAAAAAGTTGACATACATTTGGGTTAGAAAAATCAACAAAAAACATGAACATTTTATATAAAGCTTATATAATCGTAACGCAACAGCTACTGATTGATTTGGTATTCTAAAAGTAAACATTCATTTATGTGACTGCCTTACATGATTAAAATATGGTCAAATAACATTTTTTAATCAACAAGATTTTCTGACTCAAATGAAATCTCAAGTGGCTTTCAGCTCATGGCTACTATTTTAAGGCTAAATATACTAGTGAAAGTATGCTTTTAACAAATGCATGTAAAATGTGCACATTTTCTTCACAAATCAGATATATTTATGACTCGGTATATTGCGCTAAACAAATTTTGTCCAATCAAATACTTTCTAGAGCAAGTCCCTCCTCCAAACACCATCTGCAAACGACTAGCAGCACAGGCACTCTGTTAGAAATGTCAGAACAGATTTACCTTTCTAGCAGATCTGAAAGTCTGTGGATGTGAAGAAGTGTCTGGAGGAGCAGCAGGTGAGAGGTGCGCAGATACACCGCGAGCAAAACAAACACAACAGAGACTGTCATTCTGCCGCAGAGAGGAGAGCGAGTGAACACTACTACATCAATACACACTTACAGAATTACTTTAAAGCAAAACAAAACGACTGAGGACTTCATACGCGGAAAGTTACTTACAGGTGAGTCGCGTTACACTCGATTCCTGCACTTTACCGCAGTTTGTGTCGGTTTTATTTGCTGACGGGCGGTAATTGAGAGACATTAAGAGCCTGTCACTGAACTGTCATCTGCAGAATCTGTGCTTTCATAGCATTAAACGACATGAATGTGAACAAGCGTCATTGTTGTCAAACATCTAGTGGTGTGTGAGGCTAAAAGTGACGCTCGCGGATGGAGAACTGCGCTTTTTATGTATTCGAATTTTCGACAGGAATTTAAAGGGATAGTTCACCCCAAAATGAAAATTCTGTCATTAATAGAGTGGTGGAACTATGCTGACAAATCATTGCGGAGCAGAGGATGGTTTGAAAAAGCATGTGACCAAAAGCTTAAGAAGACTGTGACATTCAAGAGTGGAATCGATCTGGGATCAATACAATATCTAATCTGATATAATCTCATCTAAATTAATTTGTGCCAATGAGACCACAACTCGTGTCATGTATAGCTTGGTCAACGGATTCACATATCGATCAATAATATAAAATACACAAACATGTGATCATAATTAATAATTGACGTGGGTAGCTGAAACAAATTTTTTTTGTGTGAGCTGTTACACCCTTATGTTGTGTTCGGGATCTCTGAGACCCCAGTTATAAACATGATTAAATGTCCTACTGACAGCCCTCAAAGTGACTGAATAATCCTTTTATGCATCAGGTGTGATCGTGAAGCGAAGCAGAGAGCTCTCTGACCCTGCATAGACAGCAACGCAACTGAAATGTTCCCAGGCACAGAAACGTAGTTGGGACATCGGTAAAACAGTCCATGTGACAACTTCAATTTTGCAAAGCTACGAGAATACTTTTTATGTGCAAAGAATACCATGGAATTACACCATTGCATATCGAGTCTAATGGATTTAAATAGGTTGCACCCTCCTGTGGTGATTTCTGTGAATTACACATCTGCATATAAAATCTACTGAACTTAAACGAGTTGCACCCTCCTGTGGTGATTTTTCTGAATTACACCACTGCAATAAATTAACTTAAAACAGGTTGTGCCCTCCTGTGGTAATTTTGGTGAATTACACCACTGCATATCTAACCATTACTAACCTCTGTCACTTTTTAAATCAAATATAATTTTTCAAATTAATTTTTGATTATTGTAATTATCGTTACTGACAGAAGTTTGTCATGTCACGGAGCACATTTTCAGCTAATCAACAATGAAATTATCACGTGACAGAGTGGTATGTGACACAGCAAAATTAATAAACAAACAGAACATTTACTCACATTTAGAGCTTGACAGGTGTTTAATTTCATGCCCTGAATTGAGGACACAAACACTCACAACTGACGTTCATCTTCTTCGCCTGGACGCTACATCTGTAGTAATAAATCTGATTGAGGCAGAATCTTGCAGAGATATCTGTTTTAGACTAATCAAGCTTGTGATAATGGCAAAATCTTACACTCAGATTTATTGATTTATTTTGCATTTCCTTGTTATTTGGTGTAAGATTTCGTTTACAGACAGGTAGAAGGCAATAACAGCATATGAATACAAAGATTCAAAGATTATTAATTATACAGCATTACTGTACAATAATATACTCTTTAATATTGTTTTCTCATTGCACAACTTTAGAAAAATTTACAAATTGTTTTTCTGTAAACATTTACTTCATCATTCGTTTCTTTTCAAATCTCAATGATGTTTATGAAGAATTACTCTTTTATATTTGTAGTGCACATGACTTGTGGACCATTAAATCCACTTCATCCAGTTTCACCAGCTCTGCCCGTGAGTATATATGTCAGCTTACATGTATTAACTGTTATTTACACTAATACGTTTGGTTCTGCAGTATGGAGTAATTATTTATGTCTTTACCCTACAAAAAAAAAATATATATATTTCAACGGAAAGTCTAAAAGACCTTAAAAAGGGTCCTTTTTTAATACTCCAGCATTTTCTCAAATTCTGTGGCTCAGTGTATGATTATTTGCATTTTGCTACAGAAATGTCTTGGTTCAAATCCCACAATTGCTTTAGTACTTATCATTTAAAATAACACTATTCACAAAAACATCCAAAACACTCATAAACCTCACAGGCTCAGTAGATAATGCATTGTATTTTAAAAGTGAAGATCTGAGTTCAAATCCCATTATTGCAGGCAAGAAAAATATTTTCTTTTTTTTTTTGCTGCAAAATGGGGAAAAAAACAGGCTTCTCCATTTACATTCACAGCAGAGGGGGGATTTGAACCCACATCTCCTGCGTTAGATTGAGGTCTTAATCCATGAGCTCTGACCACTCAGCCACACCAGCTCACACAAAGAGATGTATTCATTTACTATAAGAAATAAGCACATGTACACACATTCAAAAAAAAAATATATAAAAAAATATTAATTAAAAAAAATTCTGAATCAGAAAATTAAAATGAGGGTTTTTGAAAATATTAAGAAATAAATACAAATATTAAGAAATAAAAATATTTTGGTGTATAGGTAGAATAAAATTTAAAAAATCGTATTTCCATTATAATTAATATGCAAATACTAAATAAAATAATACGTAAATAAGTAAAAATTTTGAAACAGATTATTAAAATACGGTTTTCCTTGTTAAAAATAAAAATATTTACACATTTTAAAAGGTTTGTGTCTAGGTACAATTAAAAAAATGTTAACAATAAAAAAGCTAATAAAAAATGTAATACTCTTTTGTATCGAAAATATTATACATAATATGCAAATATATAAAATATGTTATATTTACAAAGCAAGTAAATATTTATAAAAATATTAAAATCAGGTTTTTTGCAATAAATATTTTTTCTTGTTAAAAACAAAAATATTTACATAACACATTTTGTGTCTATGCACAATTAAATCTAAATAATAAAACAACTAAACTACTAAATATTTAGAAACATTAAAATGTTGCAAATGTTCAGAATAAATACATTTACCAACATATTCAATTTTGTACAATTCAATAAATACTAATACTAAAAATAAGTAATACATACTGATAAACATGTAAATATTATAGAAGACAATATATAAATAACATTTTAACAATAAAAAACTACAAGCATTACCTGTCCATGACCAGATTTCTGTTATTAAAGCAAATGTCTGTCCACATGTGCCAGAACTCTGCTTTCGACATCCCTTATTCTGTAGTTTAAAGAGATAAATAAAGACAGAAAACATACAGCTATGTGTAGCAGAACAAACGTGTAGTAGGACAAACTGTTCATCATAAATAATGTACATGTGTCTTTAGGAAGCATCTGTGTCACGCTCACTTTCTAAAGTAAAAATTAAATAATGAATGCGTTTATACTTGTAGCTCAGTTAAAAAGATACAAAACAACATTACATTACTGTAATGGTGCACACGATGAGAAGAACCTCAGTAAATACAGAAAAGATGGAAGTTTATGAAGCAAGAGAACATCATAAGATCACTCACCTGCTGCGCTGCTGATGCTGATGGTTCATATTCCAGTGTGTCACAAGAGAGCAGCGTCACAATAAAGAAAATCTGGAGAACTTAAATAATCAGACAGAAAAGTTCATTATGGATGATAAAAGACGGATTTAAAAACAGTGGTACTTATATTATATCAGTTTGTCTGAGAAACACAAGTCTAAAAATACAACATTAAAAGCAATAACATCAAATGCTAGGCAATGAAAACCAAGTGCAAAGCAGAAACTACGTGTCCAGTCATTGTCTGTTAGATTTATTTCAGATTGCATCATATTTTGTGTATACAGCGCAGAAGTGATCACATATTTTTGTAGGCCAACCTGCAAGTTAGCATCACCCTGGTTCTATCAACAACACTTTTTTTCACTGATTTTTGGATTCCGATTGCAGAAAACAAGCTGTCAAACTGCTCTTCATCATTAATTATTGCACTGACACCATGTTTGTCCCAGTTTTGTACATAAACCCTCTAAATTATTCCAGAAAACAGTGTTGAGTGTGAGTTTTACAGACAGCGACTGCGTGACACTGGCGGAGCGGATCCTGATTATCATGTCAACACTGCGTGAAATGTTAATGCAGTTTTACATCTAAAAATGCCATTGAAACAGATCTAAGCTCTACTCATATTATGACAATCACATCTAGAAGTAGGAAAGACATGAAGCAGCAGAAGAACATCAGAGCTTCACAAAAAAAAAACCCGCTCTATTAACAAACATGAATACAGTCCATTACAGTAACACTACAATAATATGATAATTCACTTGATAATATGAAAATAAGTGGTTAAGATTGTATGCCTAAGTGTTGTGGCTTTCAGCTCATGTCTACTAGCTTTAAGGCCATTTATATACTTGTGAAATTATGCTTTTAACAAATGCATGTAAAATGTACACATTCACAGATCATACATTTTATAACTCATATTGCGCTACACAAATTTTGTCAAATCAAATACTTTCAAGAGCAAGTCCCTCCTCCAAACACCATCTGCAAACGACTAGCAGCACAAGCACTCTGTTAGAAATGTCAGAACAGATTTACCTTTCTAGCAGATCTGAAAGTCTGTGGATGTGAAGAAGTGTCTGGAGGAGCAGCAGGTGAGAGGTGCGCAGATACACCGCGAGCAAAACAAACACAACAGAGACTGTCATTCTGCCGCAGAGAGGAGAGCGAGTGAACACTACTACATCAATACACACTTACAGAATTACTTTAAAGCAAAACAAAACGACTGAGGACTTCATACGCGGAAAGTTACTTACAGGTGAGTCGCGTTACACTCGATTCCTGCACTTTACCGCAGTTTGTGTCGGTTTTATTTGCTGACGGGCGGTAATTGAGAGACATTAAGAGCCTGTCACTGAACTGTCATCTGCAGAATCTGTGCTTTCATGGCATTAAACGACATGAATGTGAACAAGCGTCATTGTTGTCAAACATCTAGTGGTGTGTGAGGCTAAAAGTGACGCTCGCTGACGCCGCCTAGTGGAGCGGAGGGAGAACTGAAAACTTGAAGTGGATTAGCTGCAATATTTGTAAAATACACACGTTTCAGACTTTTTTTTATTAAGTTACAAATACGTTTTATTCAATATTTTGTATCTATGTACAAGAATAGCCCCATAAAGTGTTGTCATTTGTTCGGTCGTCTTTTATAGGCATTTAGGCTGTGATATGAATTGTGTTTGTATTTGGTGTACTGGGACTGGACTGATCGACAGATTAGAAAACCATTCTATATAGCCTAATGCACAGAGAAATTCAACAATTCATTGATGTGATTGATATTGATTGATGACTGGGAACTCGATTACTCTGTTCAGAAACAAACAAAATCTGGCTTTAGATTGTTTTATACTTTAGATTGTTTGAATTTATTGCATTAAATACTTAGGTATGCATCTAGGGGACATAGTTAGATACCTTAATGTGATGTGTCATGTGGCCAAGTATGGTGACCCATACTAGGAATTAGTGCTCTGCATTTAACCCATCCAAAGTGCACACACACAGCAGTGAACACACACACACCGTGAACACACACCCGGAGCAGTGGGCAGCCATTTTTGCTGCGGCGCCCGGGGAGCAGTTGGGGGTTCGTTGCCTTGCTCAAGGGCACCTCAGTTGTGGTATTGAAGGTGGGAGAGAGCGCTGTACATTCACTCCCCCCACCTACAATCCCTGCCGGTACGAGACTCGAACCCACAACCTTTGGGTTACGAGTCCAACTCTCTAACCATTAGCCCACAACTTCCCCTTAAATGGACACATTTGTTGAATATGCAGTATGATTGGAATGAGATAGGAGCATCCAGATTTTATATAAATGCTGAGTCAACATATCTGTCTTGGTCACACTCTGCAGCCAATCTGTATTACTGTTGACCTTTTCTTGCAAGAAAATAAATCTCCAAAAGACTTTTTGTCACATGCCTTTATTGAAATAGAAACTTGCCACGAAGTTATTTCTTGTATAATTTAATTAAGTAATTAATTGACTGTATCATAATATTTTTGTGATTCTGTCCTAAAATGATTTGCAGCCTCCTGTGGTGATGTTTGTGAATTACACCGCTGCTTATCGAGTCTAATGAAGTTAAATTGGTTGCGCCTCCTGTGGTGATTTTTGTGAATTACACCGCTGCATATCGAGTCTAATGAAGTTAAATTGGTTGCGCCCTCCTGTGGTGATTTTTGTGAATTACATCGCTGTAAATCGAGTCTAATGAAGTTAAATTGGTTGCGCCCTCCTGTGGTGATTTTTGTGAATTACACCGCTGCATATCGAGTCTAATGAAGTTAAATTGGTTGCGCCCTCCTGTGGTGATTTTTGTGAATTAGACCGCTGCATATCGAATCTAGTGAAGTTAAATTGGTTGCGCCCTCGTGGTGATTTTTGTGAATTACACCGCTGCATATCGAGTCTAATGAAGTTAAATTGGTTGCGCCCTCCTGTGGTGATTTTTGTGAATTACACCGCTGCATATCGAGTCTAATGAAGTTCAACATATTGTGCCTTTCTGTCGTGATTTTTCTGAATTACACCGCTGCAATAACCTGACAAAATCTGAGGTACTCTTGTAGAAATGTTTTTTTTTTCAATGAGACTTCTGTGAAAAGTCTATTTAGATATAAAACTGATAAAAATATGTTGGTAAGAAGTTATTTCTTTTATCATTTAATTAAGTAATTGTATTGAGTGCATTGTAATATTTTTCCTTTTTTGTGTGGTTTTGTTCTTTCCTAAAATGATTTCCATCCTCCTGTGGTAATTTTTCTGAATTATCGAGTTAAATGAACCGAATTATCGAGTTTAATGAATGGGTTAGGCCCTCCTATGGTGATTTCTGTGTATTACACCTCTGCAAATTGAGTTTAATTAATTTAAACATGTTGCGCCCTCCTGTGGGGATTCAAGTGAATTACGCCGCTGCAAATCGAATCTAGTGAACTTAAACGGGTTGCACTCTCCTGTGGTGATTTTTCTGAATTACACCACTGCAATAAATTAACTTAAACAGGTTATGCCCTTTGTGGTAATTTTGGTGAATTACACCACTGCATATCAAACCATAATAACCTTTGTCACTTATCAAATTAAATATATTTCAAATGCATTTTTGATTATTGTAATTATCATTACTTACAGAAGTCATGCCACAGCGCACATTTTCAGCTAATCAGCAATGAAATTATCACCTGACAGAGTGGCATGTGACATTGCGAAATGTAGTAGACAAACAGAACATTTACTCACATTTGCTGCTTGACAGGTGTTCCTTTTCATCCCCCAAATTAAGGACACAAAACGCCCACAACTGACATTTCTTCATCTTCTTCGTCTGAACGCTACATCTGTAGTAATAAATCTGATTGGGGCAGAGTCTTGCAAGAATGTCTGTTTCAGACCAATCAAGCCCAGTGATGGTGGCAAAATCTTACAATTTAGATTTATTGATTTAGTTTGCATTTTCATGTTATTTGGTGTAAGATTTAGTTTACAGACAGGTAGAAGGCAATAACAGCATATGAGCACAAAGATTCAAAGATTATTATTTATACAGCATTACTGAACTAACACTCCTTGCACAGTTTTAATAACATTTATTCAAATCATATTTTTTTTGAATAAATGTTATTATATTGTTATCAAATCATATTTTTTTTCTGTAAACATTCTTGAGGACATGTATTAACTGTTATTTACACTAATACGTTTGGTTCTGCAGTATGGAGTAATTATTTATGTCTTTACCCTACAGAATAAAGGATGTGTTTGAGCAGTGTGGACAGACATTCGCTGTAATGATGGACATCTGCTCATGGACAGGTAATGCTTATAATGTGTGTTATTTACTAGTTCATGTGTAGGTTACCATCATTTTCTTTTTGAGGGGTCACTCCTTTAAAAAGCAAATGATGGTAACCTAAGTAGGTGGGGAAGGGACAGGGAAGTTAAAAATGTATACAGCTAATTTTTTTCAGACTGAAAAGCATAACCACTGCTGGACATCGCTCTGGGACTCAGGGGGGGACCCGAACCATCCCCACCCCTTCTTTCACACACCAGTCACTTATTTCATGGAGACCCAGCTGGGATTGAACCAGCAACCTCAGAACCATGAGGCAGTGCTCTTACATGTGAGCCACAGATCTCTTGTTGGGACATGTGAAGGAACTTATATTTCACTGTTAACCTGTAATTTTACAATAAACTAGTTAAAGATTTCAATTGTGTCAGTGTCATTTAATATGCAAAGGTGGGACTTGAACCCATGCTTTAGTTGTAGCCTTGAACACAACACCCATTGTGTAGCCAGTAGTGCCGCTGTGGCTTTAATGCTGAGGTCCGGCATTCGGGGCACCTTGTTGGATATAATGCCAACAATTTAACATAATCAATAATGGGATTTGAACTCTGATCTCCAGAATTAAACCACAACGCTTTATCAACTGAGCCACTAAGTCTGGTGAGCAAAGCTGTGTTTCGGATGGTGTTTTGTTGAGAGCTTTGTTTTAAATGAAGAGACATATTTGCAAGTGAGACCACAGCTTTATACCAGTAAGATTTGGCTGGGATCAAACCAGCAACCGCTGAGTCATGAGGCAGCACTCTTACTTGTGAGCCACAGATCTGATGTTAAAACTTGTGAAGGAACTTATTTTTCACTCTTAACCTACAGCATATGTGACCTGTACAATAAACTAGTTAAAACTTTCTGTTGTGATCGTCGTGCAGCACACTGAGGTGGGATTTGAACCCATGCTTCAATCACAGCATTGAACACAGAGCCTAGAGTTTAGCCATTGACCTCACCCTGAGTGTTGGTGGTTATGGTACTTAGGGCATTTGAGGATATAATTCCAACAATTTAACATAAGCAATAATGGGATTTGAACTCAGATCTCCATGATCAAACCACAATGCTTTATCAACTGAGCCACTGAGTCTGGTGAGTTGAACTGTGTTTTGAAAGGTATTTTGTGGAGATCTTTGTTTTAAATTAAAATAAAAGTTTTCAAATGTGGGACTCATACAACACGTTTATATCAGTGAGATCTGGCTGGGATTGAACCAGCAACCTCTGAGCCCATCTTTTACCTGTGAGCCATAGATCTCATGACTGGCCCAGTGCAGGAACTTAAATTTTACTGTCAACCTGTGATTTTATAATAAATCTTGTGAGTATGATTATCAGCAGCAGTATTTGAACCCACATCTTCATCACAATGTTGTGTTTGAAAACATGCATTTGTCCATTAGCCCATCACAGCTTTCACATACAGTCTTGGTGTTTCAGTGAATCTTTGGAATATAATGAGAATGATTTAACATAAGCAATAGTGGGATTTGAACTCAACACACCATAATTAAAACACAATACTATCACTTGAGCCACTGGGACTGTAGAGTACATTAATGTTTTTAATGGGTTCTTATTGAGAACTTGGTTGTAAGTGATAAATAATAATTATTAGCTGTGGGATTTAAACCAAGACTCACATTTAGGAAATAGAAACCATTATCCACTGAGCCATTGATGCAACTGTTGTTTTGTGAATTACAACACTGCATATCGAGTGTAATGAACTTAAATGTTTTGCGCCCTCCTGTGGGGAATTTTGTGAATCACACCAATACAAATAGAGTCTAATGAAGTCAAATTGGTTGCATCCTCCTGTGGTAATTTTTGTGAATTACACCACTGCAAATTGAGTCTAATGAACTTAAACAAGGTTGCGCCCTCCTGTGGTATATAATG